TTTTTTTACAGGAGACTGTCATAACGGCTATTTTCAAATAATTTAGCTTCATTTTCTATTTTTTAGTCCAACGCCGTATCTCATCCAAAGCTTCCTGCAGTGTATAATTGTCGGTATGGCTTTTTATTGTTTTATAGATAATACAGTCGTCAGCGAACAATCTAAGCGGGACATCAATATGGGTTGGAATGTCATTAATGTAAATCAAAAACAAAAGTGGCCCAAGCACGGAGCCCTGTGGCACTCCTGAAGTAACGAGCAGTTTGTCCTAATCAACTTTGTTGTAGTGAACATATTAGCTTCGGTTTGATAAATACGCGGTTATCCAATTTATAATTTGTGAGTTTTTGAGTACGTTGGAATTCGCCAGCAGCTTTGGATGAGGCACCGTGTCAAACGCCTTAGAAAGTCTGGTCCCTCTCGTTAATGGCTTCAGCCAAGTCATGCGCAAATTCTATGAGCTGAGTTGTAGTTTAAAGTGATTTCCTAAACCCATGTTGATTTCTTTATATTAGGTTATGCTTATTTAAGTGACATGAAATATGTGTAAAAATGATATACTCTAGCAATTTGCACGTGGTGCTAGTTAAAGATATTAGCCTAAAGTTTGATGGTGTACTCCAGTCACCCTCTTTGTGTATCAGAATTATTTTGCTGTCTTCCAGTCATTTAGTAATACTGCATACTCAAGAGAAAAACAAAACAGAACCTGTAAATATTTGGACATCCATCCTGCGTACCTTTTCAAAAAATTGTTTGGTATCATCTCCGGCCCAGTACTTTTCTTAGTGTCTAATTTATTTAAGATTAAGTTAAAAATTCCCTCATGAGTTATGAAAACGTCACTAATTACGTCCGCATCGTTAACTTCAAGGCTTGGGATAACTCCGTCGTCAGTAGTAAATACCGATTTAAAAAAAGAACTAAACTCAGCCGTGGTAATATTACTTTGGACAGATGACTTATCCTTAGGTGCGATATAACGCCAGAACTTTTGTGGCGCACTTCTCATGAAAGAGCGGAGCCAATGGTTAAAATATTTTTCCTTTGCTTCTCAGATTTCAAGTTTAAGTCGTGCATTTAGTTATGAAAGGAGCTGGCGACATGTTTCTCTCCTATTAGATTTAGAATTCTTTCTCACTCGGGCAATTCTACGTTTCGAATGCAAGATACTTCTGTTAATACATGGATTATGAACATTAGTCTTTTTCTTTCAATGAGGTACATATTTCAATCTACACTTATTTACAATATTCTTAAAGTAATACCACAACGCTTCAATGTTAGAACCACATTCAAATTACATTTTTTCAAACTTATCAAAAGACAATTCTAAAACATCGATGATAGAAACGTCGTCAGCATTATTGGAATCTGGAACTGTTAACAGTACAGGTAAAGATCGCAATCTTTGACCTAAAAAAAGTGACACAAGCACCATATCCCCCATGATCCGCAATACCTTCGCAAACTTCGCTGCTGTATTTTTTACTAAGCAAGCGATCATTTAAAAAAACCAAGTTTAGCAGTGATTCCTCCCTAGTAGGGCAATTTACTATTTGAACTAAATTAAGTAAGAACGTTAAATTAATCAGGGCCTCTCCACTCGCACGATTTTCATTGAACACAGTAAGTGTACTCCACTCAATGTACGGTGGATTAAAGTCTCCCAGCAGGATGGAATTAGCTTAACGTTTAACGTGCTGAATTAAGTAATCATTGAGATCGCTAATCATACTAATAGCTGTATTTAGCGGCCTATAAACAGCACATTCCATGAATGACACATTGCCGTACCCGAGTTTACACAGCAAAACTTTATGATCAATTGGTGTAGATACAGGCATACACTGCAAGGACGTTCTATGAAATATAGCTACGCCTCCTCCACTAGAAGCCCTGTCTTTTCTAACTATGTTATAGTCAAGCGGGCATAGCTCTGAAGTTGCTATATTTGAATATAACCATGTCTCTGTTACAACCACCACAGCGTGGGTCACGATAGCTTTGAGGCAAGCACGCCAAGGTGGACCCTTAGTGGAGAGGGATCGGAAGGCAACGAGGTGTCTTCAGAACCGCCTGAGGAAGCTATGTGTGGCCTATCAGCTTCAAAGAGACATGCCAAAACTGCTGGCGGCAGTGAGAGTCTGCATTTTCCTTTACAGATTTTAGCAATAAACAACCTTTTCTTCCAAAAATCATACATTGCGTAAGTCATACATATTTAATGCTGTTTTTTTTTTTTTTTTTTATAGAACGCGCCTCTAAATTTGTTATGTTATTTGAGGTGATGTAAAAGAGGAAACAATTCTGTCCTGGTGAGGCTTCGTCCTAATTCACGAGTAAGACTGTGAGCTTTTTCCGGGTCTGTAAAAAATCTAGTAAGCTCTTGTCCGGTGAGCTTTTTGTCCGGTGAGTTTCTGTCCGGTGAGCTTCTGTCCGGTGAGATTTCGTACGGTGAGCTTCTGTCCAAGATACGCATTTAAATGCCTAAAGCGTTTTAGTTGCATTGAACGGAAAACGAGGGACAAACCGGACAGAGTGGCATGTATTGTGTTTTTTCGCGGGTTTCCGCACAATTTGATAACGATGGTGAATAGGTTCCTGGTAAATGCAGTCTTTACTAGGGACAACAAGCTGAACAGACTGACGCCGTTTTAATGGATATTTCAAGGTTGTCAGAAAAGGAACAGGGAAGCGCCCGTAAAATGGCAGGGTGGTGCTGTCTATGACATTCCAATGGCATGTGGGTTCTACTACGTGAAACAGACAAAGCACTGTTTGAATGCAATATTACTCGAGCACAAAAGGTCTATCGATAGTAATGCAACAAATTCGGAAATTACGAGGCACGTCGAGGAGCGCAATACTTGTTTGCAGGCGTGGGAGTGCACTATTGTACCACTGGTTGTGTTCGGGAGGCCTTGCGCTGGATGTGCGCATGAGTACAAACTCAGTAGAGATCGTGTGAGGAGTGACATATAAAACACGATGTATAATAAAATCTATTAATCTGAGTTCAAGACGTGCGGGTTTGTGTCCCTTGCAGTGTTAGAAGGTTGGGCTATAAATAGTGACTACTTATTTTTGTAGTAGGGGCAAAAATCTGGTCGTTGGCTGTTTGGCTAATATTGGGCTATATTTCCTACTCGAAACTCAAGCAAATTCATATCACTTCTTCCCAAAACCTCAAATATGGCATTTTTGACCTAGAAAACAACGATCAACTCAAGAAAGTAGGAAAGGAAAATACCAAAATCAAAACAGTGAAAATACAATAAGTGGGCCCTGATTGGTGCTGGTCGCAGGGGCGCGAAGATTATTTTTCTGAAGCACTCACTCTGAAGTGTTTTGGCGCGATTTAATACCGCAGGCAGAGGCGGTTGCAGGTGTTCCCAGAGAAGGGGGGGAGGCAGGGGGGGGGGGGGGGGGTGAGCGTATTAGATGTTTGAGAAAACACCCTCTCCCCCCTTTTCCCGACCCTCAGATTTTACACATGCGAAATTCAAGTAGGGATGAGGTCGTCTGGACATCACTTTGAAGCCGCAATGACCGCAGGGATGAACCCGTGCTCCGCCATTGGTTCTGGAATTTAGTAACATTTTGTCTTCCTTTAGCATTCTTTTGTAAATACGTGTATTTTGTTATGCATTGTGTAATCCGTGTTCCAAGTATGTTTCAAAAACCTTGTATGAAGTTTACGTTTTGGGCTCTTTGGGTTATTTTTATTGCCCGCCATAGGAATATTTTCGGTCTCTATCTCAAACATATTTGGCGGGTTAATTTACGAGTACCTGGCAACCCTGGCACCCCTGGCAACTCTAGCAATGGCCAGGGCCCTCTGGGGATATAACCGATATGATGTCAACTGACCGGTCTCGAAAATGGTGGCGGTGCCGGGGCTCACGTTCGGCAAAGCGGTGTTGTGCCTGTCATCAGGTACCCGCCAATACCTCGAGGCGCGTCAGAGGGAGGTGGGAAGGTCGGCACTAGGAGCAACCCGAACAGCGCCCAACGGCACCGAACGAGGCCGTCCAAGGAGACATGGCTGGTCCGCTTTTGAGGCCAGGACGACCCGAGCCAAGCTGGGCTTCGAGCGACGCCCTAGACGGATGAGCGAAAAGCGCTGGGCCAGACAAACTTTCGAGTATGTGCATCTTCGGTCCGTCCCGACCCGGTGGGTGCGACGGACGCGCCAGCTGGCACAGCGGTACGAAGTCAGCAACCTACCCTACCCAGCCGCGGAGCAGCCGGAACTACAGCAGAGCATCTGCGCAAGGGTGATCGAGAGCGAGACACGGCGGTGGGCGGAAACAGCACGTCGGAAACGAGCCCTGGCCCTGTATGCCCGAGAGAAACAGGAAGTGAAGCGAATATCTTTCATGGACAACAGCAAGGGCAGTGCATTGCTTTCAGACGCCCGAAGTGGCATGTTGCTGACCCGCGTACTCCGCGCGAAGCACACGGACTTGGAAGTGAGGTGTGTTATGTGCGCGCAGGGAGTAGGTGAGACAGCGGAGCACGTTATACTAAAATGCACAGGCATGAAGCAGGGTGTTACGTGCGAACCAGACATGGCGGTGGCGCTGCGCTTCCGGGGCGTTGACGAACAATACGCCGCCGATAGTTCGCCACCAGTGGAGGTAACGAAGAAGAGACTGGAGTGCTGGTGGAGGATGGGAAGAGAACACGACTACCACATTGGCTAGTGTAGCTACCAGTCAGGCTAGATCCAGCGCTGCTGAGATCCTCCGATACAAAGGGGTTAGCCCCAAATCAAATCCAAGTCGTCCGTCGTTTCCGGATAGAATCATGTGTAAGGTTAACCAGCTCGCCTATTTATTAGCTTTACATTCCAAGAGTCACCCGCTACGAAGAATCCGGGTTGGTTTGACAACACTGAAACCCCTGAAGTTCGGGAATGAGCTGAATATTTCTTTCTATCGTATTATAAATGTGAACTTGATGCTTGAAACGGTTCAAAGAAATGCACAACTTACCATGAGGTATCCCTGTTGCTGAAACTTGTCCACCATCTTGGAAACGAACGAGTTATTCTTAAAGTTCATGTACACCGTGCAAAACCTCCCGGAGAAGTCCCGCTCCCCGTACAAGTTGTTCACGGCGGTGGCCAGGCACTCGTCGAAGTTACCGAGGTCCCCGAGTGTGCCCATCAGAAGTCCAGGTGCCACTTTGCCCGTTGCATCGACCACTGCAGGAAGGAGGCAAGTTAGTTCATTTTGGGAGAATTAAAAACGCAAGGAGATAAATAGTAAATAGTCGTCAGGCCGCCGAAACGTTTACCTTAATCAACCATTTTTCAAGCAGTAGCGTGACGAAAGTTTATAAATTACACTTCTGCTCGTCTCAGATACCCAACGTACATATCTCGCTCATATTGTACCAGTAGTGAAAAAAGAAAAATAGCATTTGTGATTTCACTACTGGAACCTATATAAACTATATCAGACACTTGTACATTTTTATATGATATGATCCTATATATTTTATATGTTTATTACGCACAAACGCATATTTGTTTCACTAAATCTTGAACATGCATTTGATACGAAAAGCTTCAACTGTATTGTTTTTTTCCATTTGAAGGAGTATGTGTCGCCAAAATAATATGCTGTGTATTTCTTTACCTTGCTATCTTGCAGTATAAATAAATGGATATCATATATCTCTGTCGTAAAACCATGCTTTAACAGATATAAGTACTTGTTCTCGCTAGAAGCAAAGCTCTATAGGAATTCGTTGTGTCCCAGCGAGACCAAACCAGCATCCATCACTCTGAAGAGGAAACCGATAAAATTTCATCATCCACATTCTCCCCTGATTGAGATTAAGGTAACCTATCCAGCAAGCAAATTATGAATCTCTTTTTTCTCTCGAGGTAAAAAAACAATTTTTTCATTGGACATCACCCGACAGCAATTAAATGCTGCTTTTGATAGCGATATTTAAGCATCATGAAAATTCAGAGAGAAGTAGCTTGGGAGAGATTGCAGTGTTCGTGAACGAGAAGAAGGGCCGGTGAAAGCAGAAATTCAGTTAGCAAGAGAGCGCTACACGCATGGAATTTTCTTTGCTAAGGATGAACGCCAAGTTTAGAGTAGTTATAGTTGGGTTAATATTATTATATGGTTTATTCTGCAAGAAGCCGGATGATGAAAAGTAACGATGAAGTATACGGCAACGCTCTTGATAGCGATTAAAGCATTGTCGATTTCCTTTTTTTTAAAGCATGCTAATACAAATAGCTACAGTAAAAGCAGACAATGTGGAATCCAATGAAACAAGAATTGAATCATTACCATTCTTATTATTCGTCGCTGTTATTACAATATCCTCTTATTAGTAACATTGTCACTCAGCTCAGTTATCAAATATTTATTAACAAGGAAACAACAATAACTTCTGAGGCAATAGGCAGTTTAATTTAATATAGATTGACTACTGAACTGTGACAATAAAACGAAACGTTGCAGAGCTTTGTATTTTTTTATGTTATTTTCTTACAAAGTATACTCATCACCATGCAGGAGGCAGATAAACACAGTAAAACGTCCTCAACCATAAATTCAGTCACTCGGACGTTTTACTTGGTGCAACAAGGATGTCCATAGATCGGATGACCATATGGAAACAAGTTAAAAGTAAAAACTAAAGCGCGGACTTTGTGCCAGAAAAGACGAGTCGATGAAAGGATCGTAAAATTCTATACAAGGACCGTATTCACGCTTTGTACTGTCGCTACCCTTATGGTTCCGGGCGACCACTCGTATGGAAAGGCTTTATGGCATAAAGATTCCGTCTTTTCGAGCAAGAAGAATGGGGCCACCAGACTCGTAACTCCTCGAGAAAACATGTACGAAAAGGAAGCATCGCATGCCTCGGGCATATTGCTCGCCTCGAGTCAAGGAAACGCACCGACCGCATGTATCCTTCAGCGACCGAACAGAGGTGCGCGCCGAAACACTCACAAAAACACGGAGGAAGTTGTGAGATCGTTAAGCTATTCTGAGGACTTGTCGTCGCACAAAGTGCGAATGGAATAAAACCTATACTTTTTTGCTGACGTAGGAAAAAAAAACACATGACGAGACGGTAACGGGCACCCTTCTGACTCTGCTGTAGTGTAGTTCCACCTTAATAAACAGGACGGCAGTTAAAGCGGCACATACCGTAGACCTACGTGTCTATGTTTTATGTAGCGCTATAATTACGGTTTTCAGCAGCACATACTTATAGCTAGGACACATTTTGCTTTCTATTCCTGTCTCTGCTCGACCGGCTAAGATCGAATCCCGCAGACGCTCACTGGCACAATAATCCTCGGCGGGCTGGCCCGCGACGTCCTTCATATTCATGAACGCAAGAAAGGAAATGTCATGTTAGGTCTACGCAGATGCCTTCTTGGTGTCGATTAATCATATCTGAGTATTTATCCTCGAAGTTTATCCCGGCGCAAACGCCTGATTAGGCCGGCCATGTGGGGGGTGTCGCGTGCTGATGTTCGCCAAAGTCTGTAGGAAATATAAGGGACCTCGTACGCACGATCTCCCCATTCCGAGGCCAAGCCGAAGCCGCGCACGATACGGACTTTATAAGGAAGGGGACGTGTGCGAAAGCAAGTTGAGACACGACCAAGAGCGGCATGATGTCAAATGAGCTTGCCAATAATAGCCACCGAAGCTTCGGTAATTATTTTTATCTGGGACAACCAGCACTGAGTTTACTTCACGTACGGTGTGTATAGCTTTTATACTTCCTCTGCAATGCCCGATTAATTTTTATTGCTACTGGCGAGGAAAGCGTGTCGATCAGTAGAAGTGTCTGGTGTGACATTTGCACAGTTCGCATACTATGTACCTCTGGGACTCGCTCGACTAATATATGTTTCTGCTTATTTACTCCATGCCAAATGTGTTGGTTTCTTTCGAAACGTTATGATTGTCATTAAGGCACAAAGTGTGCGGCCCCATTGACCCCACAAGAAGGCATAAGCAGAAATTTATTTTTATTTGCTGAATTGTAATGACATAATTACTTGTCTTAAAGGTATCCAGGGAAGGATAATAGCATCGAAATAGTAGTCTTCAAAAACGCCTGTACCTCTTGCCTTCCGTTCACCATAAAAATAATGCATCTAATTTCATTCTTTTGTCTCTCTCTCTCTCTCTTTCTTCTCACTCTTTCTACTTATTCCTTAGCCTTTCATTATTCCCTTTTTCTTTCTGCACTTCCTTTCTCGCATAGAGTTAATATAACGTACGCTAGAGGTTTCACAGCCGCTAGCGTGCGGATTCGCATTGAAGCAGACAGCAACCAATCTGAACCTGACTTCCGGTAATAGGCACTAGCGCCAGTTGAACCTCTAGCGTACATTATAACTCCAAGCTTTCTCGTTGGCTGGCTGTCAGAGTCGTTGGAGACTTGCCACTAAAGGGATGTCCGCATCATAAGATAAACAGGAAAGGATGAAAACACAAACCCACGGAACAATCGTTCGTTTTGGCACAAATACACACATTCGTTCTACCTAGTTTTAATACTGACTTTGGTACATATATTTTTTTGTATGCAGCTTTATGACGTCGAGTTTAAAAGCTTACTATAATGACGGTTATATACCGTAAATTTAGGAGTATCACAGGCTATGGTGCATTTGGTGTATAGTATAATTTAGCGGTCTATCAGAATAAACCTTTTGCCAAAATATCCAATCACAAAAGAAAACTCTGGCAAAGTAAGTGCACGCGCTTCACGCGCTCGACTTATTCGTATAAACAAATTTGAAGTAAATACCCATAATAGGTTGTTGACGCACGCGCAAACAAAATCTCATTTGTTTAAAATTTTTGCTTTAGGGTAGTTACTGTCGCAGAAGTCTACATACACAGGCAGCTTGCTCCTTGGTGATTGGCTAATTTAGTGAAAGGTCTCGTCCCCGCTTTATTGGAGTTATGCCCTTTCAACGCGACCACCTCGAAACGACCGCTTTTTTATGATTCTTCCTAGAAAGATTGAGGAAAAGATCGAAGGGATATCTGGCCACTTGAACGAACACACGCTGGGAATGGCTCCATAACGAAGGTACCGAAACGCGCGCTGAACATGCGATGCTCTGGGGCCAAGCGAAGACACGGAAAAAGAGTCTCCACTCTGAGCGCACCTAATGGGCAGTTAGACAACAGGTAATGAAGGGCTACGTTGTTGGTTTCGTGTCATCACTGACCGACAGTTTCGAAGTGGGCTGTGGGTCGCCTATGACTGCGCGCGGGCCCCTGGTTTTATGCGTTCGGTACAACTACGGAAAAACAACGAGCGTAAAGAACTATTCGGGCACTTACCATTTCTTAAGGATATGAGGAGCTCCCCACAATGTATCCAAATAAAAAGTTAGGAGAATTTAATACTTCTAAATGGCGAATTTTGAAAACCTTTAAAATCATTAGTAAAACGTCCCATCCTATTCTTGTTTTTTTTTTTTGTTTTTTTTTTGTTTTGACTTTTTTCAGCGTTTGGCAACGAGAAATGAAAGTGGAACTTTTTATGCAGACTGAAATTATGCAATTTTTGTTTTGATGCTATCCACCAAATATATCGAAATTGGTCACAATTAGAGGTAAATACATTCTTAGGTCGCTACCGCACACGCCCCGGTCAGACCAAAGCCCAATTTAGGCGGTAAAACGTAAAGGAGAAAATGAAAGATTTTACATCCTTAAACCGGATTGTTACCCCCATTACTTCCTCAACATTGAGAGGCATACCTAGAAGTGCAGGTGTGGTATTTAAGGGTTAATAGATATGTACACTGTCTTCGACACGAAACCGCCCTAACCGTGCGCTTCAATGCTGTGCACCGTAATCAAACTGAAATCGTGCGATCTTTCTTATGCACGGCATTGATGCAGGCGGCTCGTAGCCTGACCTCCAATCGCAGACACGAGGGAAACAGATTATACTTGGCCTGTCACACTTCCTTTAACCATAAACCAGAGCCAAATCAAAGGCCAAAAGGCATATAAGCACAAACGCATAAAATAAAAATGCAAGGTCGCAGCGCGTGCAGAACATGCAGAACCTTGAAGTTGCGTTTTTGGCACATTGATTGACTTCGTGGTTATAGCGTTTAAGGACCCTGGATTAACTGTAGTGAACGCCTAGACGTCCCGTGCGTACAACAGTTGACCTTCCATG